AGACAGAGAGAGAGAGAGAGAGAGAGAGAGAGAGAGAGAGAGAGAGAGAGATGCTACGTGCTACTTTAGGAAACTACAGACAATGTCTTTCCATCTTGAAGCTATCTTTTGGTAATAACACTAACAAGACAATATAGTTATCCAACCCATTATTCTTAGCCTAATTGTGATATTCTCCACTAGTTCAGCTGCCAAGTACGATTAGATGGTGGTTAATTCCTTCTTGCTGCTGTGTTTCTTCTTGCGCCAGCACAACCTGCTTTCCAAATCACAACCAAACCCACTTTGTAAACCATTAACCTTCAATGTGTGCTCGCTAGAGTGCTCAGCATCTTCACCACCAGAAATTCTGTTGTTCTTGCCAGAGTTGAGTTAGTTAACTTTTAGGCTAGTGTTAAATAATTCAGCCCAGAAGTCACCTTGGAAGAATGCTCTGGTGGGCATTTTACAGCTGGAGTCCTTGATATCTAATCCCCCTCTGAATGGTGCGTTCAGGACACTAGTGACCCAAAAGATCTCCCATATTAATTTAAAACCCATAAAAAGTTCGAATATATCAAGCGAATGCTTCTTAACTATGCAGGAAAAATTAGGCTGGCAAAACATTAGAAGCGTAGACACTCAGCCATCCAGAGAGAAGAGCACCTAAAGCTGCTTCCTTTCCTACTTATTTGCAAATACAATTCTGCCAAGGGCCAGGGAAGCCAGGGTGGGGTGGCTGAGGTGCAGAAGGTGCCCCGCGGGTCCCCATGAAGTCTCATTAGTCTTTAGAGTCCGCCTCAGGACAAAAAGTAGCCACTGGTCTCTCTCAGCTGTGTGTCTCCGTGCACCCCCTCTTCGTTGTAAGTTTTGCCTTCCTGTTAGAGCCACCCACTTGGGAAGGCCAACCCCTAGCATGTCACACGGCACCCTGCAGAGAAAAGGTACCCAAAATGTGTTTGTCCCTTGACGAAGGCTAAGACTAAGGACATAGACACAGGTACGTCAAAAAAGGAAGCAAACTGATGCAGTGCACACAGTCAACAAATGATGCTTTCTTAATAAAACTTGTTTTATAAAACGTGGTGGGAAAACACCTAGGAGATGGAGGGGCAGATGGGTTAATAGTTGGGGAAGGGTCTCTCAGGAAATGATCAGCTAAGAATGAAGAGATAAGGTTCAACTTTCCAGGGAAGGAAAGGACATCCCAAGGACAAAGGCAGTGTGGTTCACGACGGCCTGGAGCCAGAACCAGTGTGGTCTGGGGGGAGCGGGAGGAGCGGTAAAGGCTGCGGAGGTGTTAGATCACAGAGCCCCCCTGATGACGTCAGTCAGCACTTTCAAACTTATTTATATCAGAAGACACCACAGAATTTGATCGTTGTGAAAGATCCCGTCCATGTTTTTACATGATTGATTGCTCTGGGTCTGGACAATATCTCAGGAAACCTTTTCCAAACAAACACAGACACTCATGAACGGCAAACAAGATGCCCAACGAGAGAACACAGTTCCACAGAGCGACAATGACATTTCCTTCCTCAAGGCCAGTGGCATCGTAGCCATCCCGCCTCAGCCTGAGCGCCATCAAAAGATGCAGCGAACTGGCTGTACAAGTTGCACTATTTGGAGCAGGTTATTTTCCCTCCATTTCCTACCGAAATGAGAAGCTATTTCCATGGAGAATTATAACTGGACTTCATTTAAGTATTTATGTTTTTTTTTTTGTTATAAGCCATTTCAGTTTTGTATAAGTCCAGCTCTGCCGCGTTTTAAAAACAGAGATGAGAGAAAGGCTAATATTAATATTTGGGCTTATCAAGTAAAATGGCAAGGACATGACACCATCAGACACTCAGGATGTGAGGCAGCACTTCCCGACCACAACGAAGGAGCCATCCTGGCTCAACGCAGACCCAGCTCTCGGGGCTGACTGCCCTCCAAATGGCTTATTTTCCTGTCTTAGCTTACAAGGGAACAAGTGATGTCTACTGTCTGTCTCTATGGCAACTAGTACCCTAATTTCACCTCTTAGATGGCAATTATACCTATTCACCGAACAGCTTTCAATCCCCACTTTTATGATGAAAAATTGATTTAAAAAAAAAATGCGACACAGGCAGCAGGCGAGCCTCCCCCTGTCTGGCCCCAGCCCAGCGTTTGTGTGCAGGGTGTACCCAGTGGCACTTCTCCCCTTTCATTTAGAAGATGTTTATGCCAGATGCCTTTCTCCCAGTTATTTTTAATGGCAAAATATCAGCCTTTTCTTAACTGACAGTTATTTTATTCAATTATAAAATTCATGGTGTTTGTTAAAGAATATTTGGTAAATACAGGAAGCAGAATGTAGAAAAGAAGAAATAAGAAAATAAAATTCACTCGCAACAAACAAAAGCACTGTTAATGTCTTCCTAGCATCCTATGTGCTTTGCATGTGCATATTCATACAAATGCCGTGTAAATCTCACATGTACATACATGATTATAACCAGACTGCTTCACGAGGCGTCTTGCTTTATCCTCCACCCTTACTGTGCCGCTAGACAACTGACTTTGACAGCTTCTTAAAGGGAGCCCATTTGGTGGATTCCTAGCCTTTAAAAAAATATTTTATGTTTAGCTGTGTAGCTGTATAAATTATGTCACATGGGTGCTGGTGCCCATGGAGGCCAGAAGAGGACGTGGGATCCCCAGGAGCTGGAGTTATAAACAGATGTGAGCTTCCAAGGAGGCGCTGGGAACGGTACCCCTGGCTTCTTTGCGAAGACAGAGACGGTTCTGAACTACTGAGCCATCTCTCCAGTTCCTAGGTTCCTGTCTGTATTTTAGCTCATTCCTCCTTACCAACATTATGAAGATCTATAAACCCTAACAAATCTAAAGAGAAGAAACACATAGGTTAAATGAACAAGCATTTGAAGTTGCTTTATCCAACGTCTCTCCAACAATGTAGATAGCAATTTATTTTTGCACTGTAGGCTGGGAAATAAAAGTGAGTCCTGGCCTTCAGCTGCTCTTCCCTGCTATAGCCTTCTAATTGAAGTTACTAGAAGCTGTGCCTAGCCTAGAGGATCAGAGGATGGGATTTTCACCTGTTGGCCATTGACTGCAGGGTATTTAAGCTTCCATGGTGCTATTAAAGAAGGGCTTTTGTACCAGTGATTGGAGGTCCGTGTGTTGGTCTGTCTCTGCGTGTGTTTCTTCAACCTCCAGCCCCTTGCCCGAAGCTCGCGAACTGGGTTCTAGCGCATAGAGCACAGATGGGGGCCGCGGTGTGCGGCATAAAAGTATCAGTTGTCTTCGATTCTCCTTTGTGTGTGTGTGTGTGTGTGTGTGTGTGTGTGCGCGCGCGCGCGCGCATCCTTGCATACAGAGGCAAAGACTGCAGATTAACATTGCACTCTATTCATATTTTGAGAAGCGGGCACATCTTTTACGGAACCTGGTGCTGACTGGGCTCAAAGGAAGGCCAGACCACTCCAGGCCTCCGCTTCTCTCCACCCCCCAGCGCTGGGGTCACAGATGTGTGTGGTCTCACATGGCATTTTAAGCGGGCACTGGGAATTCCAACTCAAGATCTCACGCTTGCATAGTAAACACTTTGCTCTCTGGGCTATCTCTGCAGCCCCTGGTCTTCTTACATTTGTGATTGGAAGCACCACGGTTAAAGCGGCAGGGCACAGCTGATGACTTAATGGTAGGTAGGGGACTATCTCATACATTACTTTCAAGACGTGGGGTCTCATTGTTTTCTCACGACTGGACAGTCTTGATCATTTGGGCTCAAGCAACTGCCTTGACTCAGTTTCCTGGAGTCGCTGAGACTACAGGGCACACCACCATGCTTAGTTTAATACATTCACTTATCTAATTGGAAATGTGTTTTAAAGCTAGATGTGCTGCTTTAATGGCATTTCAGGAAAGGAGCTGCCTGCCGCCCTCTGGGGCAGAGTCTGTGCTGTCGCCTGATGGCCTGTCTCTCCTACTTCTTAGCAATAGAAGACAAGGATTTTAGTCCCCTGGAAATGACATTTTAGATTACGTTTTGCAATTAACGGTGGCTGTGTAACAACTCCAGGCTGATGAACAGGAAAGAAAAGTAATATTTTTTTTGTCTATAATTCCAGAAAATAAAAGAAGGAAGATGTGTCCTCTCAGATCGTTCCTGATGAGTGGAATGCAGATGTTGCAAGCAGAGTGTGGGTAGCCATTTGGACCTTGAAGCTAAGGGCTATATTCTAGGAAAAGAAGAAGAGACAAATAAAAGGAACCAAGGCACCAAAGAACTTGGTTAAGAAAAAAATCCCCCAGATAATTGCTGTCTAAATTTCTGAATGAAAGTTTGCATTTTAAGCTATAATCGGGTTGCTGTTTAAAAGATACAGTATTTTAGTTTTTATTTCGCTTTAACCTAGTATCTGACAATTTCATGCATCGCATAGGGGAGAAGTTAATTTTGACTGACGTAAGGCGCTTCTACACCTTTCTCCTCTGGCTGGCTTGCAAGCTCTCCTCCAGCCAAGATGTTTATTTATACCTAATCAGCTTTGCTATCTATTTTATCATTTGCTTTTTAATTTTGTTTACGGCACGAAACACAGAAATAAAGTTATCCCCAAATCTAATCACTACGTAAATTCTATTACATAGTCAGAAAAGAGCATCATCAGCTTAGAACGGCATCCAGGCGAGCCTCTTGGCTCATCCATCACTGATCAGCCCTGAGAGCAGAGTCTCTCCCCCTCAGGAACATCATCCAGAAGAAAAGGAGGCGTGCTTCCGAGGACTGGAGAAGTCATTTACCCTTTGTCAGAGCAGGGACTGCCCAATCTGCCATATGTCCCCAGCGGTCTCACCAGGGCTTGATGGTTACTGAATAGTGAGCTCTGGCTGCCACCTCCGGCCACATTTGAGAGGCAGTCACTGCCCTGGTCATTGGAGGACTACCCAAGAACCTTTGCTTTTAGGGCTTCCCATAGACGCGGGGGAAGAAACGGAAAGTTGCAACAGTCATAGCCTACCAGGTCGTATGCGGCCAGCATCTTCTTCTGCACGTCTGGCAGGGCACCCAGAGGCTCCAGGTAAGGAAAGCTGTCCTTCATCACAAGAGACACGGAAGGGGCACTGTCACTGGTGATGAGACGAGAGGACAGGGTTAACAGGCACTGCTTCAGACTGGCAATCGGAGGGAGTCCACACAGCTCCTTAACAGATACTATGGCGTTCTACGAGGAGAAAACAGAGAGTCACCCGTCTGGCCGCAGGGCGCTGCGTTCCCGGTTCACGCTCAAGTACGTTCGCCAAGTTACACCCTTAGAGACAAGTGCCGTGAAGAGCAGCCTGGACCACAGCCAACCCCAACTGCTGTGACAAGCAGAAGGAACACAGATCACTGACTCACAGCCTCAGCCTGAGCCGTTGGTCCTAGTGTTTACCAATGGCCATAGACATCCATCAAAAACAAAGGAGATTATGACTCCAGGCTGCTCCATGCTTTTCAAACATAGCAACTGAATCCATAAACACACAAGCACTGCCGAGATAGGAACCCTTCATTCGAACTCAGAAAAGCATCCCGCTAGGGGATGGTCGGCCATCTCTCTTAGCATCTCAAGGCTGCGGCTATCATTGCTCACCTGACTCCATCTGATCGACCAGCAAGATCACCTTATCATCCCATTAGAAATGTCCCTTGCCCACAGAAAATGCATTGTACGGGCATCTTCTTCATTGGCATCATGATCTTTAACAAAACTGTGCTGCTATAATATTATGAAAATATCTCTTCTATTCAAAGAGACTAGAACTTTGGTTGGGCTTCAGAGCCAGAGTTAGTAATATTCCTTGAGGCTACTTAGGACTAATAGCCTTCTGCGTATCCTGCTTCTAAGGAAGTAATGTAACAACCAACCTTACTTGTTGATGTCACATATAATCAACTTTTACACCTAAGCTGATTCATAGCTTAATCTGAAATTTTCTTCTCTTCCATACACCCAAGGGTGGTAACACATGTATGTATATATGTTATGGTGATAGATGCTGGAAACAGCAAGCAGGTTGAAAGCAACCTTATAAAATGAACATCTGGCATACATGTTAAAGACAACTATGGGCATTGCTTGATAGCCTTTGTGTGCTTGCTGTCTGAGTCAGCTGCATCAGATGCAGTTAGTGACTGAATCCCTTGTAAAACTCTATTAAAGCTTTCTGTCAAGTCTCCCAGCCTTACCATGTGATGCTGTCTGTGCTGTTCAATTAACACACAGCAAAAGCTCTTCATTGGGGGCATACGGGGACGGACATACACAGGGGCACACACAGAGAGAGAGAGAGAGACAGACAGACAGACAGACAGACTCACCAGATAGACAGTCTAAGAGTCAAGTTCATATGACAGACAGAGGAAGGACAGAAGACAAAGGGGGAAAGAAGTCGCTAATTCAAATCTGGGCTCACTCTTGGGTAAATCACATGATGGAAGGTGTTTTTTAATTTCTTTTCCTTAATGAGACAGCGGCACATTTTCGGCGCTCCAAGGCTGTTGTGAACGTGCTCGATGCTGGCGTGTAACTCGGGATAGAAGTTATGGCTGCTTCACGTTTATTAATAATGCTCATCCTCTAACCTACCGGATGTCTCAGGAATTTATTAATTACCAGGGTGCTTTTATTTATTTATTTATTTTTACAGATTACCCTCTAAATAATCCTTTATCCAAACTATTTTGTTAGGAAACCATGAATTATGAACACTGCCTGCAAAAGCCTTAGAAACTGATCTTCTTTTGCGGATGTGCATGTGGTGTGCATACATGTGTGTGTGTGTGTGTGTGTTTCTATGTGTAGGGGCATGTATGCATAGACCTGGGTGTCTTCTCAGATCACTCATCATAGACTGAGGCAGGGTCTCCTACTCGATCCAGGAATCCTGGGCTTAAGGGATCTATCTCACCATCCTGCTCCCGTGAGCCCCCTCCCTGTCTTAGCCTCTTGCGTGCACTGGGATCCCAGGAGGGTTGCCACAACACCCAGCTCCTAAGTCAGTTCTAAAGATCTGAACCCCAGGCCTTGCCTGTTCAGCAAGTACTCTTCCGGCTGAGCCATCACCACGGCCAAATACTTCTCAGGATGTACTCTGCAGATATGGAATAGAGGCTGTGGTTTATGAATTACACAAAAAGCCGGGAGGTGATGGTGCATGCCTTTAATCCCAGCACTCAGGAGGCAGAGGCAGGTGGATCTCTGCAAATTCGAGGTCAGCCTGGTCTGCAAGAGCTAGTTCCAGGACAGACTCCAAAGCTACAGAGAAACCTGTCTCAAAAAACAAAAAACAAAAACAACAAAAAAAAAGGAATTACCCAGAAATACATAGGACCGACTTCTAACACAGCGAGGTATAGAAATTGCTCATAGGTAATCTAACATAGGGCTTCATAATAATGTTGACTTTATGTAAGGAAAGATTATATAAATGATAATAGCATATTTGGAGCCTAGTTTTGACAAAGGGGTTAAGCAAACCTCTTTGAGTCAAACATAAACCTAATCTGACCTCAGGTGCTAAGCTGTGGGTTTCATACCGTACTTTCCCTCCATTTGGTTATTTGAAGAAGTTCTCTTGGAGTTAATATTAAGATTTCACAAAGGCACAGCTCGATGGTTCTGCTTCGCATGAATTATAGTGGATTTTGGCATCAGGCACCCTTGGGTTTAAAGTCTAACTTGGTCGTTTATTAACTGCAAGATCTGAGAAATAACGTCTTCTGACGTGTCTGGTTTCTTGAGTGCAGAGCTTCTGGATGGGTTAGTCTTGTTAGAAAAAACGCTAATTAAAGGAATAAAATAAGCTAAATGATTCTCATTTTGCAACGTAAGCTCTTGGGCGGGGGGGGGGGGCACTTGTCCACTCGGGTCTTTAAAATGCTATCCTCGGGGAACTAGGGTAAGTCATGTGGAAAGGGTGTTTTGCATCTCTGCTGATGCATCACGAGGAAGGAAAAGGTACGCTGGGTTTCTCCTGTCCACTGGGCATTCACTTCCGGCTTCCACTCAGCTCTCACACAGCCATCCAGTGTAAGTCTCGTGGTCCTGCCTGATGCAGAAAACCTGATCTTGAAAGCTGCGGTTCAGGACCACACGGGGCAGGTGCACAGCAGGAACCACGTTCTTTCAATTGAGTTACCTTTCTAGGAGAAGCTAACTATATTTTTTAAAAGTTTAAGGGTTGACTTTTGTCTGTTTAGTTGTGTTTTTCTCTTGCGGCTAGGAATTTGCTAGTGCGCATTTAAATAACTGAAAATATTATGGGTGTCGGTTTTAGAACATTTGACTTCTAATTCTCTTCTCTATTCATATCAGCAAGTATTTTACATGTAAGCTTTCAAATCGCATGCATATGTCTGGTTATATATTTTATAGGCTACCCACATGAGGGGGTGTGCGTGTGTGTTCACGTGTATTGTGTATTTATGTGTGTGTAAGTGTGTGCATGCACACGCACACACATACACGTGCGCATCAGATGGGTATGATTGTCTCACACAGGTACCAGAGGATTAAACCAGGATGTCCTATTCTCTCTCTTTCCACCTTATTCTTCTGAGACAGGTTTACTCACCGAACCTGGTACTAGACTGGTGGCCAGCCAGCCCCAGCCACCTTCCTGTCTCTGCACCGCACTCAGCAAGGGGTTACAGGCACAGCAGCCACACCCAACTTCTTCTA